TCTAAGCCCTCTGTCACACCGGCATAAGGGCTGCTGGAGGGCACCTCAGCTGTGTGGCAGCGCCAGCGCTGTGAAAGCGCCTGCTATTTAGCCAGCTAGGGAAGGAGATGTCCAAGTGGCTGAGACATCTCCTTCCTAGGGAAGTTTGGAGAAAACTCCGCTTCTCCAAGCTCTTGTGGTAAGACCTGACAGCTGTCAGGCAGGCTCACAGACATCCGGGGGCTTAACTGTCTCTATGTGATGCCGTGCTTCAGTGGTCACATTCCACGTCTACTCTCATGTTCTGCTTCTGCACCTGGTTCCTTTATTCTTAGAAAAGATCGTCAGTAACAGTAATGTAAATCTTAATGTTTTAGATCTTTCTTGATAAGTATGGAAAAGGTGCTAATGCATTATGCTCCTTACCTCATTTCCGGTGCCAGAAATTCCTGAGCCCCTACCTGAATGACACGTGATGTACTTGACCCTATCACTGCCACGCCCTATCTACCCTGCCCCCAGTCTCTGACCACCAAGAACACGCCCAGATTTGTCCCCAGATTTGCAACACAGTAAAAGTGGGAGCCTAAGCGCTGAGGCAGGAGCAGAGAATAACAAGTATTGCCTTTTGTTCCTGTCTCAGCGCTTATGCAATCTTCCCCCTATTACTTGTCTGTTATTATTAAGCTGTAAGAGTTCTTAATATATTCTGCACACTAAATTTTTATCAAATATGTGATACACAAATGATTTATTCCATTCTGTGGGGTCTTATCACTTTCTTGGCGGTATTCTTTGAAACACAAAAGTTTTAAATTTTGATGAAGTCCAATTAATCTATTTCTTCTTTAGTTGCTTGTTTCTGGTATCATATCTAATATATCATTGTTTAATCCAAAGTCAGAAAGATTTATACCAATGCTTTTTTCTAGGAATTCTATAGTTTTAGTTCTTATATTTAGGGCTTTGATCTATTTTGAGTTAATTTTTGTATATGGTGTGAGGTAGGGGCCCAACTTCCTTCTTTTGTGCCATTTGTTGAAAAGACTACTTTTTTTCCATTGAGTGATCTTGGCACCCTTGACAAGAATCAATTAATGATAAATGTAAAAGTTTATTTCTGGTCTCTCAATTCTATTCCATTAATCTATATATGCATACTTATGCCAGAACCGTGCTGTCTTGATTACTGTTGCTTTGTGTTAAGCTTTGAAATCAGGAAATATAAATCCTCCAACTTTATTTTTATTTTTTTGAGACAAAGTGTTGCTCTTGTTGCCCAGGCTGGAGTGCAGTGGTGCAATCTCAGCTCACTGCAACCTCTGCCTCCCAGGTTCAAGCAATTCTTCTGCCTCAGCCTCCCAAGTAGCTGGGATTACAGGCATGTACCACCATGCCCAGCTAATTTTATATTTTTAGTAGAGACAGGGTTTCACCATGTTGGTCAGGCTGGTCTCTAACTCCTGACCTCAGGTGATTCACCTACCTCAGCCTCCCAACGTGCTGGGATTACAGGTGAGAGCCACTGTGCCCAGCCCCCAACTTTATTTTTATTTTTCATGATTGTTTTGGCTATTCTGGGTCCCTTGGATTTATATATAAATTTTAATATTGTCAATTTCTGCAAGAAAGGAAGTTGGGATTTTGGTAAACATTGAGTTGAAGCTATAGATCAGTTTGGAGACTGTTGCCATCTTATTCATGAACATGGGATATCTTTCCATTCAGGTCTCCTTTACCTCTTTCAATAATATTTGTTTTAGTGCACAAATATTGTACTACTTTTTGTTTGAGTTATTTCTAATTATTTTATCCTTTTGATTATACTGTAAATATAATTGTTCTCTTAATTTTCTTTTCAGATTGTTCATTTCAGGTATATAGAAATATAATTGATTTTTGTATATTGATCTTGTATCTTACAACCTTATTGAACTTGTTTATTATAATAGTGTGTGTGTGTGTGTGTGTGTGTGTGCGCGCGCGTGCATGTGTGTATCTATCTGCCTGTATTCCTTAAGATTTTCTATATATACAACGTCATTTGCAAATAGAAGTAGTTTTACTTCTTAGTCTCCAATATGAATACCTTTTATTTATTTTTCTTGCCTAACTGCTCTGACTAGAACCTTGAGTATAATATTCAATAGTAATGAGAACAGACATTCTTGTCTTTTTTTTTTTTTTTTTATCTTAGGGAGGTTTTGGTCTTTCACCATTAAGTATGACATTACTTGTGAGTGTTTCTTGGATGCCCTTTAGTAAGTCAAGGAAGCTCCCTTCCATTCCTAGTTTGTTGAGTTTTTTTTTTTTTTTTAAACAAATCATTAAAGGATGTAAGATTTTGTGAAATGCTTTTTCTGCACTTAGATTATGATTTTTTTCCTTGATTAATAATATGGTCTATTACATTAATTAATTTTTGTTTGTTCAACCTCCCTTGCATTCCTAGTGTAAAATTGACTTGACTGTGCTGTTTGATTTTTAAAAATATGTTGCTGGATTCAGTTTGCTAGCCTATTTTTGAGAATTTTCCCTATACTCATAAGGAGTATTGGTTTTTAGCTTTCTTTTTTTCTGATGTCTTTGTCTGGTTTTGGTGTCAGGGTAATACTGGCTTCATAGGATGTGTTGGGAAATGTTCCTTCTTCTTCTGTTCTTCATAAGAATTTGTGAAAGATGAGTTGAATTTTTCTCTTTCTTTTTGAGATGGAGTCTCACTCTGTCACCCAGACTGGGATTCAGTGCCATGATCGTGGCACACAGTGACCTCTGCCTCCCAGGTTCAAGTGGTTCTTCTGCCTCAGCCTCCCGAGTAGCTGGGATTACAGGCGTGCACCACCATGCCTGGCCAATTTTCGTATTTTTAGTAGAGATGGGATTTTGCCGTGTTGGCTAGGCTGGTCTCGAACTCTTGATGTCAGGTGATCTACCCACCTTGGCCTCCCAAAGTGCTGGGATTACAGATATGAGCCACCATGTCCAGCCTTGAATTTTTCTTTAAATATCTGGTAGAATTTACTAATGAACTCATCTGGTCCTGGTCCTGGACTTCTTTTGCAGGAAGTTTTGGTTATTTATTCAATTTTTGTCATAGTTCAATCTAGATTTCTGTTTTTTCTTTAGTCAGTTTAGTATTTTGCATCTTTCTAAGAATGTTTCCATCTTACCTAGGTTACCTAATTTGTTAGCATACAATTGTTTATAGTATTACCTTATAATCCTTTTTATTTCTGTCAGGTTAGTAGTAATGTCTCTCTCATAAATTTTTGTTTAAACCTGGGCTATTTATTTATTTATTTTGAGACAGAGTCTTGCTCAGTGGCCCAGGCTGGAGTGCAGTGGCGTAATCACAGCTCACGGCAGTCTCAGCCTCCCAGACTCAAGTGCTCTTCTCATCTCAGCCTCTTGGTGGCTGAGACCATGGGGGCATGCCACCATGCCTGGTCAATTTTCTTTATTTTTACTTTTTCTAGAGACAGAGTCTTGGTATGTTGCCCAGGCTGGTCTTGAACTTCTGAGCTCAAGTGATCCTCCTGCCTCAACCTCCCAAAATGCTGGGATTACAGGCATGAGCCATCATGCTAGGCCCATGACACTTTAAATAATATAATGTGGTATTTGCAGAAATCATATTCTCATCCCTTTTCATGTTTTGTTGTTGTTACTGCCTGTTGTTCATTTGTTTATTGACTTTTCTAAATTTTATAAAGTCTGTATTCTTTGTTATATATGGCCACTGGAGCGTCTGATTGGTTAGCTTAGTCATCAGCTCACAGTTGGACATACATTTCCTTAAATGCCTAGAAACAAGATCTCCCAGTTTTTACTGAGGGTCTTTTTTGTATTGGAGCGTTCCTTCAACACTTAGCTATACAGTTCGTTTCCTGCTTGGGCGGAGCTGCAGGGTCAGTTGGAGGTGAGCGTTTAGGGCCTTCTCAGGTCTTTCCTGAGCAAGCACCTCTCCCTGGGAATGGTTACGTCTCTGTGCCCGTTGAGTGGCTTCCTAGATTTCCGATAATATGTGGGAGCTTTTTCAAGTCCTGATTGACACCTCATTCCCCAGCTTTTCCCTTGAAGCTTTTTGGTTGCCTGTTATTTGCCCTGTTATCCACCTATTCAGGCAGCCATGATTTTAAACAATTGCCTCAATTTTTTTCTAACAAGTGCCTCTTCATGGTAAGCTGTGCTCACTGAATGAGCTCTAACTCAATTCAAATAAAGACAGCTTTGGGAGTAGGATGTTTCAGGGAAACATCAGGTCAAATAATGATAATTTTCTAGTAAGGAGGCTTTCACAGAGCCCCAGCCCTGTTCTGTCCACTCCAGTGACTGTCAGCCTACTGGGTTTTCCCTGTGATTGAAGGCTGATGGTTTTCAAGACTGCATCAGAGCCGGGGGGCAGTGGGGAGGCAAGTGAGGAGAAATGGGAGTGAAGCAAGTTAAAATGCCACAAAACATGTTCTTCATATTGAGATTCAGCCATTTGGGGAAATAAATGCTCCCCAGCTTGCTGTAAGCCTTTGGTTAATTTCTAGAGTTCTGAAAAAATTGATTTCCACAGTTTTTCCCAGTGTCTTCATTGATTTAATGGAGGAGAGGATTTTCAGAGGTCCTTTCTCCAGCAGTTTCGCTCCTGTCTTCCCAGCTCTGCCTCTGACTGCATGTTGGATTTATACGGAGGCACTTCAAAAAAGCTCAGAGAATCCAAACTTTCTTCCCCTTACTGCCTACCAAAGAAATGAGTCAGTGATGGTCAAGATGTAGGTGGATTTTTCTATCCAAAAGTCTCTTTATTTTGCTGTTTTTAAAGTTTATTGGATATTCTAAAAACAAGGCGTCCAAAATTATGACTTTTGTGTTCACTTTAAGAATAGTCTGAAACATCGGTAAAGCAGATTACGACTAGCATCATTTTTACACTCTCCAGCTGTCCTTTCAGAAAAGGAATAGATAGGAAACCGGCCACATTTGGGATGTATGCTTTAAGGTAATGTCATCTGTTTTCTTTTATATCACAGGGATTTAATGTGCAAAATGGCGATTATACCAGATTGGCTTAGGTCGCATTCTCGCGCACGGAAATTTACACATTCAAGACCCCATTCTTCACCATGTAGAGCATATTCAAGGAATGGTTCCCCAAATATGTTCAGATCTTGTTCACGTAAGTATTCATGAGCAAATAAGAGCACTAACAGTAGATACCACTTAGGTGTATTTAATATGTACCAAGCTTAGTTCAAAGGATTTGCATGACATTTGGCCATCACAGTAATTCTATGAATCAGTTCTATTTTTGTCCCTGTTTTGTATATGGGGAAATTGGGACACAGATTGATTAAGCTATTTGCCTAAAAGTTACATAGTTTTTAAGTGGCATTTCAGGATTTGAACCCAGGGAGTGTGATTCCAGAATTCAGGGGCTTAACTCCTATGTTAGGTATGTAAAAACTCACTTGGTAAATTAGTAGACTTAATTTTTTTTTTTTTTTTTTAGCAGTTTTAGGTGTACAGAAAAAGTGAGTGTGAAATACAGGAAGTTCCCATACACCCTCTCCCAGTTTCCCCATAACTAACGTCTCACATTAGTGTGGTGCATTTGTTACAATTGATGAACCCATACTGACAACATTATTATTACCTAAAGCTCATAGTTTATAATAGGGTTCACTCCTGGTGGTGTACGTTGTATTCATTGTAGACACGTGTGTAAAATGCCATGGATTGACCAGGCACAGTGGCTCATGCCTGTAATCCCAGCACTTCAGGAGGTTGAGGCAGGAGGATTGCTGGAGCCCAGGAGTTCCAGACCAAGCTCAGCAACATAGTAAGGCTTTGTCTCTGCTAGAAATAAATGCAAAAAATGAGCCAGGCATAGTGGTGCATGCCTGTAGTCCCAGCTACTTGGGACTCTGAGGTGGGAGGATTGCTTGAGCCCTGGAAGTCAAGGCTTCAGTGAGCCATGATTGTGCCACAGCACTCCAACCTGGGTGACAGAGTGAGACCCTGTCTCCAACTTAATAATAATAATAATAATAATAATAATAATAATAATAATAAATGGGCATCTTGGTTTCCTCCATGTTTTGGCAATTATAACTGAAGCTGTCATAAGCATTCATGTACTGGTTTTTATGTGGACATAGGTTTTCAACTCATTTGGAGTTCTTACCAGTTTTAAAAGCAACAGAATTTGACATGATTATTTTCCAAAAATATATATCCTTGAATTTATTAGTTCCTTCGTTTATGCATTCATTTATTCACAAACATTTTCCAAGCCCTAATATGTGACAGGCAGTGTAATAGGTGCTGAGAATAAAAAGATGGACCTGACGGTAGGCCTGCCCTGGACAAGCCCACGGTCTAGAGAGGGAGATAAAGAATTCAAGTCACATGAGGCAAATGCTGTAAGACACACTTTCAAAGCACAGCATGAACACAGCCTGAGGAATCGGCAGGGCCCAGAGGGGCCACTGTGAAAGGAGAAGTTGGGTTCTGCTTGTCACTGGAGGAAGCCATCCTTATCATCACACTCGTGCTTACCTGCAACTGTCATGACGTGAACCACTCGGTCCCATGCCTGCAAAATACAGACTTTGTTTCCAACCACCATGTGTTTACCCAAACTCGGGTGTGTTTCTAAGGAGAAAGAGGCGAGTGGGTATCGGGGATTAATTTAGCAGTTTCTTACATAAAAATATATCACCAACAATAAATGCATTCTAGTTCAAGATCTCCAGGTCTACAGTATAATTTAGATATATTTTTAATTAACTTTCTGATGGTACAAAGAAGACCAGAGTGAGGTGGGATGATTGGGTTAAAAGGTGTTCCAACTCTTCTTTTTTTTCTTTTTGAGACAGAGTCTTACTCTGTCATCCAGGCTGGAGTGCAATGGCGTGATCTTGTCTCACTGCAATCTCCACCTCCCCAGTTCAAGTGATTCTCATGACTCAGCCTCCTGAGTAGCTGGGATCACAGGCATGCACTATCACACTTGGCTAATTTTTGTATTTATTTATTTTGTGTTTTGAGAAAGAGTCTTGCTCTATTGCCCAGGCTGGAGTGTAGTGGTACAATCTCAGCTCACTGCAACCTCCGCCTCTCAGGTTTAAGCAATTCTTCTGCCTCAGCCTCCTGAGTAGCTGGGACTACAGGCACGTGCCACCACAGCCGACCAATGTTTTGTATTTTTAGTAGAGACAGGGTTTCACTGTGTCAGCCAGGATAGTCTTGATCTTCTGACCTCATGATCCTCCCTCCTTGGCCTCCCAAAGTGCTAGAAAGGTGTGAGCCACCGTGCCAGGCCTAATTTGTGTATTTTTATTAGAGACAGGATTTCACCATGTTGGCCAGGCAGGTCTCAAACCCCTTGGCCTCCCAAAGTGCCGGGATTCTAGGCGTGAGCCAGTGCACCCAACCTGTTCTACTCTTAAGGTTCCTGATGAGTACCACCGGGTAACCCTTCAGGAAACTTGCACCTTAGCACATTCCCACTTGTGAGACTTATAAGTGCTCATTTTAAAGTATCCTAACACAGATTATCTTTTAAGATATTGCCCACTGGACATGGAAAAATAACATTCCATTGTGAATTTAATATAGATTTCCTCAATAGTAAGGTTAATTTTATTTTCAAGTTTACCAGGTTTATGCCTTTTGCTTTTGTGAGTTGCCTGTTCATATTCTTTGCCTTTTTACCTACTCTGGGTTGGTCTTTTTTTGGTGACTCGTGTGAGCTCTCTTTGTATTAAAGAGACTGGTGAGACTCCACACCAGCGAGACTCCGTAGACATCTCTGCTTTATAGCCCAGCCACCAGCTCTGCATATGGCAAACCTTTTCTCTGCCTTAGTGCCACAGGTATTTTTCTTCTTTGTCATTTTTTATTTCTATTGGTGGTACTTTTTAGTGCACTGGAGTATTTTTTTTACCTTTTAAAAATTAAATATATATTTGCCCCCAGCACCCCTTTCCTCTGCAAGAGGAAATCAGCAGCAGCTCGGCTGGTCCCTTTTTCGTGCATGTACAGCACATATCTGTTCGATACACACTGTGTAACTCATACATCAAATAAGCAAATAAACACCAGACACCTTGTTTCCTCTTTAAATGTTTGTCTTTGTGTTTCAATTTGAATCATTCCTATAGACCTGAGATCACGTCCTCTAGTTCTTCTAGCATGTACACTCTGCTACTAAGCAAAAAAATGAATTCTTAACTTCGGATGTTGTATTTTTAATTTTTAGATTTTTTTCATGCGCTCTTTAAAAACGCTTTCCATTTCTCTGCTGAAATTCCCTATACGTTCACCATGTTTTCAGCTTTTCCCTTTCATCTTGCTAACCTAGTTCCTGTTCTCAGTTTGAATACCTGGTCATTTCTGCATGTGTTCTCTCTGTGGGTGTTCTGATGACTATTTTTACCCTGATTAGGTTACTTTTTCTTCTTCACTTGTCTTGCAATTAAAAAAGTAATGCCAGATGTTTGTATGAAAAACAGTAGAGACAGAAGTCAATAATATTTACCACCAGAAAAGGAAGCCTCTTCTTCTCTCAGGCTTCCAGCAAAGTGGGCTGACTCAGCGTCATCTCTCAGGTGAGCTGTCCCTTGACTTCGGTGCAGTTTTAGTGAAATTGAGGTTACCCCTGGTTTCCTATGCTTGCCTTCAACAGGTGTCTGAGGTATGAGCGCTGGTGAGACTCCGCAGCTCTCTCTGCGCTAGAGCCCAGCCACCAGCTGTGCATATGGCAGGGAGATCTCTGCTTTACGGCCTGCCTGCCATTTTTGGGTGGTTTCTTGGGAGGTCTGTCTGCTCTCCAGCTCTGCCATGGCTTTCTGTACCTGGGAACGTCTCTGTCCACCCTGTGTCCCTGCCTTTAACCTGCAGCAGGGCATTGACACTTAGTGAAGGACCCCTGTGCCTCGGAGAGTTCGCCTGAGCTCTTCTTCCCTGTATTCAGCCTTTGGTAAACAGCTGCCCTGGACTTGTGCAGAACCCTGTGTGCCAGGCTGGGGTGGATCACAGAGCTTTCCTGCAGCCTCAGCCTTTGCTTCAGTGCTGCTTATGTGCACTGGGGGAAGGCCCAAGAGGGTGGGCCAGACCTGCGCTGTGACCAAGGCCCCTGGGAGTGTCATCCGCCTGTCAGTCTCCTGTGTCTGCTAAAACTGGGTTGTTTTCTTCCTACCCTGTCTGTAATGAATTTGCTTTTCACCCACTGTGCCACAGGGATAGAAGGAGTTACCATTCTCTCTCTGATGAGTGGCTTGTCCTTTCCTGAATGATAGTTTCTTTGCATCCTCAGATCTCTGATGGATTTTAAAACTATATATATACTTTAGCTTATCCTACTCGTTCTCATTGTTAGGGTGACAGTGACAGTCTGTTGTGACTTCCCATATCCTAAACGGATATAGAAAATTTTGTCAAATTGCCCTCCAGAAAGATATCAATTTGTACTCCCACCAGCAGGTTATGCAAGTTGGGTTGCTGCTTTCATGTTCATTCTCAGACATGTTCATTAGGCACATGGAGTAAAAAAATTTCCTTCACGTGTTTTAAAATAGTCTCACACCAATATTTTCTGATTTTTTTTTTTTTTGAGATGGGGTCTTACTCTGTCGCCAGGCTGGAGTGCAGTGGCGCAATCTCGGCTCACTGCATCCTCCGCCTGCCAGGTTCAAGAGTTTCTCCTGCCTCAGCCTCCGGTCGCTGGGAATACAGGCGCATGCCAACACGCCCAGCTAATTTTTGTAGAGGTGGGGTTTCATCATGGCGGTCAGGATGGTCTCGAACTCTTGACTTCGTGATCCACCCGCCCTGGCCTCCCAGAGTGCTGGGATTATAGGTGTGAGCCACCGTGCCCAGTCTCTGATTCTTTTAAATTACAATTATTGATTACAATGGTGAGGTTTCTAAGAAAGCAACTAAAAATATATAGGAGAGGTCTGAGAAAGCATTTCAAGACGGAGGCAGACATTAAAAAGTGGGATCCCCTCTGACACTGAGGGCAGGAGGAGGATTTTCAGGCTGGGGCAAAGAGGGAGACGTAGTGCTCACCGGCTGCTACTGAGTCATGCAGCTGCTGTGTGTGACTCAGCTGCTTCTGAGATTCTGAGTGACAGCCAGAAGTGGAAGGGAAGCCCGAGTGCTTCCTGCATTTCTGTGTTCTTGGAACTCTTGTGGGAGGCTTAAGTTCCTGCTTCTCCCCCTGGGCTCTGTGCTCATTCCTCTTTTCCCTGTCTGCCCTCTCTTCAGTGAGTCATCTGGCTCCGTGTTCTGAAATACCACCTGTAACCAAAATGATAGCTCCATCCTGACTGCCCCGCCAAGCTCCCACTTGTGTATCCAGCTGCCTCGCTGACCTTTCTGCGTGCACCCTGTCTAGCAGGTATCTCAGAGCTGAACTGGCTAAACGGATATCTTGACTCCCCCACATTCTCCGTCTCAGCAGTGACACTGTCATTCATCTAGTTCCTCACGTCCAGCACCAAGGGATTATCCTTGATTTCTCCATTTTCTTTAACAGCCCGCACGCACCTCCTCAGCCAATCCATCAGCACAACCTTGCCAGCTACAGAACTGGTAGATCATGTCTCTTATCTGTCTACTTTCTGTCCACCTTCAGGGCTACCACCTGGTTCAAGCCACAGTTATCCCCTAGACCTTGGAGCAGCCTCCTCTCTGGCCTCCCTTCCTCATTTTTTGCCCCCTATCAGCCATTCTTTTTTTTTTTTTTTTTTTTTTGAGATGGAGTTTTACTCTTGTCAGATGGAGTTTTACTCTTCAGCCCAGGCTGGAGTGCAGTGGTGCAATCTCGGCTCACTGCAACCTCCGTCTCCCGGGTTCAAGTGATTTTTCTGCCTCAGCCTCCAAGTAGCTGGGATTACAGGTGCCTGCCACCACGTGTGGCTAATTTTTCTATTTTTAGTAGAGACGAGGTTTTGCCATGTTGGCCAAGCTGGTCTTGAACTTCTGACATTAGATGATCCGCCTGCCTCAGCCTCCCAAAGTCCATTCTTTACAGAGCAGCCAGAACATTTTTTAAAAAAAAACCCACACATATGCTGTGTTAGATAACATTGCTTCCCTGGTTAAACTCTCCTGAGCCTTCCATTGCACTTTGAAGAAAATGCCATCCTTTCTGCAGGTGTCTGAAGCCTATGTGGACTGGCCCTCTCCTCCCATGGCCCAAATTCTCACTGTTCTCCATCCTACCTGCTCCGTGCCACACTTTCTCCACTCTGGCCTTTCTGCCTTCCTGGATGTATCAAGCTCCTTATTCAGGATTCTTTTTCCAGTTGCTATGGTTTCCCTGTTGAAGACATTCTTACTTCAGCTTCTTGACTGACTGGCTCATTTTTATGTTTCTGGGTTTCGGCTCACAAACCCAGCAAACCCACTCTGGAGCAGGCTTCCTTGACCATCCTCTCTAAAACAGCCCCCAGCTGCACTCAGCCGCATCGTTCTGCCTCTGTCTTCGTGGCATGCATCACTGGGCATCGTGACCCGATCGTTTATTTGTTTATTGGCTTCTCGTCTGTCGTCTCACCTCCAGATTGTAAGCTGTACCTGTCTTATTCACTGCAGTGCCCTCAGGGCTGAAAACTGGTTGAAATCTGATAGGTGTTGAAATACGATATTTTTTGAATGAATGAATTCAAAAGTCAGTGTTTCCCACCGCCCCGTCTCCTCTTCCCATGGGGCGCGTTTCCCCGTGGCTTCCAAGCAGTTGGTTCCCATGCTTGCATCTCCAGCCTCTCTGATCTCCAGAGTATGTGTTCAACTTTCAGGTTGACATCCCGCTTAGATAGCCCAGGCTGAACTCATGAGCTTCCCCATAAGCTTTTTCTTCTTCTCTTCCAGGTATCTATTGCTGTATGCAAACTCTCTAAACACCGTGACTTGAAATAGCAGGAGTCATTTATTTTGCTCACACATCTGCAGTTTGGGCAGGTCAGCTTTTCTCTGCTCCATGCACTCTAGCCGGGGAGGTACAGAGGCTCGACTGCCTTCACATTGGGGCCTGGAGTCCTCAAATGGCTAGGAGTAGATGCAGGCTATTGCCTGAACCTTGGCTAAGGCTGTTGCCCAGAACCCCTCCACGTGGCCTCTTGGGGTGGCTTCTTGGCTTCCTCACAGCCAAGTGGTGACTGTGTATGAGCGTCTGAAGAGGACCAGGCATGGCTGGGCATGGTGGCTCGCGTCTGTAGTCTCAGCACTTTGGGAGGCTGAAGTGGGTGGATCATCTGAGGTCAGGAGTTCCACACCAGCCTGGCTAACGTGGTGAAACCTTGTCTCTACTAGAAAATACAAAAATTATCCAGGCGTGGCAGCAGGCACCTGTAGTTCCAGCTACTCAGAAAGCTGAGGCAGGAGAATTGCTTGAACCCAGAAGGTGGAGGTTGCAGTGAGCTAAGATCGTGCCACTGCATTCCAACCTAGGCAACAGAGCAACACTGTGTCTCAGAAAATAAATAAATAGGACCAGGCAGAGGCTGTAGCACCTTGCATGACCTCATTTTGGAGATCACACATGTCCTGTATCATCCTGATAGATATCCATTCTGCCATCACGGGCCCACCAGATTCAAGCGGGGAACATATGCCCACTTCTCAGGGAGGAGTGTTCACATGACCTTGTGCTGGGAGATGTTGTGGGTCCGTCTTGGAAAATACCATCTGCTGCATCTTCCCTCTTCCATTTCTAAGTGAGGGGTGCTGCTCCTGCCCCGCCACCAAGCCAGATGCAGGTGTTCCATCCTCTTTCCATACCTCACCTGGCCCCTCCAACCAGGGGATTCCATAGACCTCCCTGCTCAACCTTTTATTCATCTGAAGTGTTTGCACTGTGACCACCACGCTAGTACAGAGCTGTGTCATCCCTCTCCTGAGCAGCTGTGGTCACCCAGCCTGTCTCCACCCTGTCATTCCCCTTCCCTCTACGTGGTACCAGGGGAAAGTGAAGAATAAAAATTGGCTTATGTTGTTTTGATGACAATCCCACCGTGGCATCTTATAACTCCAGAGTGCTAAGCCCAAGCATAGGCCCTGCTGCCTTTCCCGCCCCATCTCTTGGCTCCTTGGCTTGTCCCTGCCCCCAGCCTCCTTTTGCCCAGGCTGGCCGTGCCCACAGCAGCCCCACTTCCAGCTCTGTTGCCTCAGGAACACCGAGTTGCTTTCCACTGAGAAGGCTTTCCTGTCGCCTTCCATCCTCACCCCAAACCCCAAACCAGCCCTCCTCCGTTTAGGTCTGCCATGCCCGCCGCAGACACCTAGTGCCTGTCTCCGCAATGGATCGCCACATCCCAGTTACAGAACCCCCTCCCTCTCGGAGGCTCTGGGCGTCAGGCGCAAGAGTCATCCCCAGCCCTGGCACAGGTCCTGTGTGTGTTGGGCCCTCAGTGGATGTGAGGGGAGAATCCGCAATGGCAGCACAGCCCCTGTGTGGGGTGGTAGTACCCCCCAGAGCCTGCTGTGCTGTGGCTCGTGGGGTTAGGGCCTGCAGCAGATCTCCATGGCAGTGTAACTGGGGTTCCTGCACGTTCTCTCTTGTACCACCCTGCAGCTCCGAGGAAATCCCAGCCTGCCCTCTGGGTGGGTTCCGGTTGGTGCACTGAGATCTTTCGAGTCTTTCACCTGCCCAGGTCACCCCAAGACTAAAGCTGTCACTGTCCTTACACCAGAAACATGCAATAGCTTGATAAGAAATTCTCATTCAAAGGGAAAGGACTAGCATCCTCCCTCCCTAGCTGCTGCTTGTGAATATTATGATAAAGGATAAGGCAATGTTAGAGCCCTTTTCTTACATAGATTCACTATTTAAGAAAGAGCCACTAAATAAACTGTGGTGACCAAGTTTATCTCACAAATAAGTAGGAGGGATTTACTGATGGCCATTATTCGTGATCTCCTCTCTCCAATGGAATAATTATGTCTTCATGCCTGTGGTATGGATTGGCACCATACATTGGTTTGTACTCACCATATTTACCTCTGTAATTTCCTACCTAGGGTTCCTATAATTGTTTTTATTTTGGAGAGGGGAAGGAGGCCTGTGGTGTATTCGCCTCTCCTTTGCTGACACATGGGGCTCAGGACCTGAAACATGAGTCAAGTTCAAAACCCAAAAGCTTATGGAGACCACTCGAAACGTTTTCATATCTTCGTTTCAGTGTCCAGCTCCTCCTTGTCTTTGAAAGGAAAATGATCTAGGTTTAAGAATTAAGTTTTTCCCTCAAAAATTGGCAAGGGTATGAAAGGTGAATGTGATATTTTAAAGATTTATTTGAATGCTATTAACCAAATTTGCTTTCAGTATCCATGTTTTTCCCTTGTACTTACCTATGTCCTTCAGAGGGAAGATTATAATTTTTTCCTTACTAACGTCATTACTATTATGCTTTAATGATCAAATTTCAGAGTTAAAAGATGATTGTAGAGTTTTCATGACGAATCATCGAATGGTTACACATGAAAACCTAGATATGGTGGGAGAACTACCGTTGAAGAAGTTTGCTGGGTTCTGTTAAACACTGTCAGTGTTTTTGTTTAGTATGTTGGCTTTAAACATGTTTAATAAATAGCTGTATCTCTTTTGTAGCCACAGCTGTTGCCAATCCAACGCTGTCCTCCTTAGATGTTAAACGGATTTTATTTCAAAACATTACCGACAGAGGGGATGAGCTGAAAAAGGTCTTTCAGCTGCTTGATACTGGTCAGAACTCGACGGTGTCAAAGAGTGAACTGAGAAGAATTATCACAGACTTCCTGATGCCGCTCACACGAGAACAGTTTCAGGACGTGTTGGCTCAGGTGCCGTATGTCGTACGTGCTTAGACTCGTTCAGTTCCGGACGCGCAGGGGAGAGTGTGACCCGTCCTCACCTTCTCCCACTGTTGCCCCTGTGTAGTCGAAGGGTTGACGTTTTGTTTATTTTTCACAATTCACTTAACCGAGGCTGACGTAGATGATCATGATCGACCGTACGCGGTCGTGTTTTGCAGGCGGCACTTCTCCAGCCAGTTTCGTTTCTTTTCTTTCTTTTCTTTTGAGACAGAGTTTTTGCTCTTGTTGCCCAGGCTGGAGTGCAGTGGCATGATCTCGGCTCACTGCAACCTCCGCCTCCCAGGTTCCAGCGACTCTCCTACCTCAGCCTCCCTAGTAGCTGGGATTACAGGCGTGGGCCACCATGCCCGGCTCATTTTGTATTTTTAGTAGAGATGGGGTTTCACTATGTTGGCCAGGCTGGTCTTGACCTCCTGACCTCAGATGATCAGCCCGCCTTGGCCTCCCAAAGTGCTGGGATTACAGGCGTGAGCTGTGCACTTGGCCTTCTTTTCATTTATTTTAAGGGGCCATATAAATGTATTTGGGTCAACTTATACTTTGGAGCTTAGCATTTTGTCGTTCTTTCTTGCACCAAATAGTTATTGAGCATCTGCTACCTGGTAGACCCAATGCTAGACACTGTGGTGCAGATGAATCAGACTCAGGCCCTGGCCTTGAGGGGCTCCCAGCCCAGTGAGACACTTATGGACTGTTGGCAAGTGCTGGGACAGGGTTCGCTGCAGGGTGGCTGGGAGTCACAGGATGGCAAGCTGTCTGAAAATGAGGACAGGTAGTCCAGAAAGGCTCTTAGGAGGGGGGGTATTTCACTTAGTTTTGACTGAGGAGTAGGTATTTGCTAGATGAGAGGGGAAGGAAAGGTTGTTATAACAGCGGGGATAGCCTGTGGGAAAACTTGGATGCCTGCACCCGCCTGCCATGCTTATTCAGGGACCTGGGTAGTTCTGTGATTTCTACTGGAAGTGAAGAATACGGGTCATGTTGTGACTACAGGGGCCAATCCAGAAGAGCACTTCGTGAAAGAGCTCGGCCTTTATCCTAGAGGCTGCGGGAGCCAGGGAAGGGTTTGCAGCACAGGCGATGTAGTTACTTCGGGAGGGATGTGGAAGATGAGGGCCCTTGGCCACCTGGTGGTGTACCGTACCAGGGGAAGAGAGGAGTGAAAATGTGTGGACTGTGTCCTTGGGGCCCTTAAAAAAGGATTACAAAATGCAGTAGGAATTAAATACTTTTTAAAAAAATTTTATTGGAGACAGAGTTTCACTCTTGTTGCCCGGGCTGCAGTGGCACAGTCTCGGCTCACTGAAACCTCTGCCTCCCAGGTTCAATCGATTTTCCTGTCTCAGCCTTCTGAGTAGCCGGGATTACAGGTGCCCACCATTATGCCTGGCTGATTTTTGTATTTTTAGTAGAGACGGGGTTTCATCGTGTTGGCCAGGCTGGTGTCGAACTCTTGACCTCAGGTGATCCACCTGCCTCCGCCTCCCAAACTGCTGGGATTACAGTTGTGAGCCATCACGCCTGGCAGAATCAAACACTTCCAAAATAAGTCTATAATGATCAAAAGTAGAAAATTTGGGCTAGAATATTGTTAGTATTGCATTTAACCCAATAAATTTGCATACACACACATGCATGCACACACACAGACAGGTACTCTAGCCTGGATGACACAGCGCATAAGACTCCGTCTCAAAAAAAAAAACAAAAACAAAAACAAAAACTAATGAATGAGTAAATATATATACAATCTTGGCTCAAAACTAATGAATGAGTAAATATATATACAATCTTGGCTCAAAACTAATGAATGAGTAAATATATATACAATCTTGGCTCACTGGAACCTCCACCTCCCGGTTCAAGTGATTTTCGTACTTCAGCCTCCCAAGTAGTGGGATTACAGGCATGTGCCACCGTGCCCAGCTAACTTTTGTATTTTTGGTAGAAATAGGGTTTCATCATGTTGGCCAGGCTGGTCTCGAATTCCTGACCTCAAGTGATAAGTCTGCCTTGGCCTCCCTAAGTGCTGGGATTACAAAGATGTGAGCCACGGTGTGTGGCCTCAGTCATTAGTTCCTAATCGGAATCTGACTTCATGCTATCTTCTAGTAATTTAAAAACATTTCTTTTTAGAATTTGCTGTATACCACAACTAACCCATTGTGTATACTTTCAATACAGGGGAATTAAGTGTTATGAAAACAAATAGGCTGGGTACAGTGACTCATGCCTGTAATCCCAGCACTTTGGGAGGCTGAGGCGGGCGGATCACCGACCTCGGGTGATCAAGACCAGCCTGACCAACATGGAGAAACCCCATCTCTGTTAAAAATGCAAAATTAGCTGGGTGTGGTGGTGCATGTCTATAATCCCAGCTACTCTGAGGCTGAGGCAGGAGAATCCCTTGAACCTGGGAGGTGGAGGTTGCAGTGAGCTGAGATCATGCCATTGTACTCGAGCTTGGGCAACAAAAGTGAAACTCCATCTCAAAAAGAAAAGAAAAGAAAAATAGATCAATGAATTTTAGGCGTTCCTAAATTCCAGTCTTAATTTCAAGGACTGCTTCTCTTTTTTTTTTCTGACTTAAACAAAATATATACAGTTTTATTTGTTTCTTCTTATGCATACCATTTTCTGTTTCAAAGTTTTCTCTTCCCTCTAATGCTGTCTTTTTTTTTAATTTGTCAAGTTTTGAGCCATAATTTTTCCAGATATGTTTTTCTGTCCCATTCCTTCCTCTCTCAAATGTTTTGATATGTCCCACTGGCCCTGAGGCTCAGTTCATTAAAAGCTTTGTTTATTCTATCATTCAGATTGGATAATGTCTATTGATCTGTCTTTAAGTTCACTGACGCTTATCATCTTCATTCTGCTATTAAGCCCATGCCTTGAATTTTTACTTTTAGACATTGTATGTTATAGTTGTAGAATTTCCACTTGATTCCTCTTTGTGATCTCTTTACCTGGTTAGATTTTCTGTTTTTCTTCAGTTATGAGCATGCATCTTTTGACTCTGAGCACAGTTAAGATAGCTGCTTTAAAGTTTTTGTCTAGTAATTCTCACATTAGTCATCTCAAGGTTGGCCTGCATTGATTGTCTTTTCCATTGAGAAGGGTCTTGTTTCCCTCGTTGTTTATATTTGAGTATGTTTGGATAATATCCCAGAACAGAGCTATCCAAAAGAAATATCCTGTGAGTAGGTCGGGTGTGGTGGTTCACGCCTGTAATCCCAATGCTTTGGGAGGCCCAAGTAGGATCATTGCTTGAGCCAAGGAGTTCAAGACCAGCCTTGGCAACATAGGGAGACCCCATCTCTACAGAAAATTTAAAAATTAGCCTCCAGATGTTGGAGGTTGCAGTGAGCCAAGATCACGCTAATGCATTCTAGCCTGGGTGACAGAGCAAGACCCTGTCTCCAAAAAAAAAAAAAAAAAAAAAAAGTATATATCTACTGTGAGCCACATATGTTAATATTTTTATTCAACCCTATATATCCAGAATATTTCATTTCAACATGTAATTACTGTTAACATTGTTAATAAAACATTTGATATTCCTTTCTGTCTACTAAGGCTTCAAACTTGGTGCGTGCTTTACACATAGAGCAGACTTCAGTTCAGACAGTAGATCTCTTGATTGGTATTTGTATTTCATAAGATTTACAGTTGAAATATTAGATTCATATACCTCTTCCAAACATACTTAAAAGTTTTCCAATAATTTAATCAATATTATTTTTAAATTTTAAATTAACTTTAAATAAAGCAAAAAAATAGTTAATAAGTTCTGTTAGCCACATTTCAGGTGCTCAGTGCGTATGTGTGGCTGTGGCTGTTTCTCAGTGCAGCACTCAACATTGTCAGTGGTGTGGGGACGCTGGATTCTGTTTTGTTCCTCTGAAGACTTGACACTTTTGTTTCGACAGGCAGTTAACTTGCCCACTCTGTCTTCCCTGCAGCGAGCAGTTGCTCATATCTCGATCCATTTCTTTATCTTTATCTGGGCCTTTTTGAGTCTGACCGGCACATTCATGGTTCAGGGTCAGCTGGAAATGTGGACAGGGTTATATCCAGGAAGTGGGGCTCCTCCTCCTCTGTCTCTCTCCTTTGAGAGAAAATATGAAATTCTCCCCACATTTTCTTGTGGCCGTGGTTGCTTTAAGTTTAGTATGCCAGTCCTTTAGGTCGGAGAGACAGTGGGTTTTGTAACGGGGTTAGTTGCTCTGTGCTGGGCAGTGACTGCTGCCTGCTCTCAGGATAAAAGCCACTGATAGAGCAGGAAACTGCCTCCATACCTGTCCTGTCTTCTAAGTTTTGCCTTCTTGCAAAATGTGCCTGCTTTTATTTATGCTCCGGAGCCTTAAGTTTTATTTTACTTTATTTTAACCAGAGTTTTTGGTTGTTTTCCATAGGAGGGCTGGTCTGTTTTGAGCTTTCTCTGCATAACTTCTCTGCTTTATCTTTTTTAAGAGTCATGGTCTCACTGTGTTGGCCAGGCTAGAGTGTAGTGGTATGATCACAGTTCACTGGAGCCTCAAACTCCTGGGCTCAAGTGATCCTCCTACTTCAGCCTGTTGAGCAGCTAGGAGTACAGGTGTGCACCACCATGCCCCACTAATTAAAAAATATATTTTTATTTTATTTTATTTATTTATTTATTTTGAGACAGAGTCTTGCTCTGTGGCCCAGGCTGGAGTGCAGTGGCACAATCTCAGATCTCAGCTCACTGTAACCTCTGTCTCCTGGGTTCAAGCAATTCTCCTGTCTCAGCCTCCTAAGTAGCTGGGACTACAGGCGCATGCCATCATGCCTGACTAATTTTTTGTATTTTTAGTAGAGATGGGTTTTTACCATGTTAGCCAGGATGGTCTCAATCTCCTGACCTAGTGATCCACCCACCTCGGCCTCCCAAAGTGCTGGGATTACAGCCATGAGCCACCGCGCCCGGCCAAAATTTTTTTTTA